GAACGCGTCGTTTGAGCCTTTTGAAAGATAAAAAATACGCCGCTTTTCAGCATGAAGACGCGCTGACCACTCTAAATCAGTTTTTCTACCGCCGTTCTCTCAGAAATAGTGGGATTATGTTGATGATCATTGATCTTTGAGCCTGGAATCCAGTGCTGAGGATGGCCTCAGCACACCTTAAATATGATATGCATATGAAAGCTCATTTTTCAAACAAAAGAGACGATACTCCTTCAAAATAAAAGCCCCGGACAGCAGTCAGAACCCCGCCGAGGACTGAGACTAACGGCCTAAAGCAGCAGCTTCCTGCTGTAGAAGTAGAAGCTCCGCCCCCTGACTCCTGTACATACTGTCTGTGAATGTGCCCCCCCCACCCCCCCGTTTTAGTGCAATTCTTTTGGCCGAAAACGATAATCAGGAATGAGTCCCCCGTGCGTTTTTACTGCTCTGTCTGTCCTGGACCAATGGGAGGAGCCCGACGGGTGGAGGGGGGGAGGGGGGGGGGGGGGGGGCGGGGAGGGTGAGCGTTTCTTAACCACCCCCCCCCTCCCCCAGACCCTGGAGGTGCACAGGGTTTAGGTCCTTTAGCGCGAATGAGTGTTTTGAGGAATGTTGTCGTTTTGGAAAAAAAAGGCTTGTATCAAAGCTCTATTGTACATAATTGAAATAAAGAACAACAAAAGAGCACCCATGTTCTGAGCAGTGTGGTTTAATAAGAGCAAAGTAGGAACAAAATAAGGCCAAACTTACCCTAATAACCCTAATACTTATGATCACATTCTCAGATAAGACATGCTAGCTCTGTGTAGATTAAATCAATTAACCCTCTGACACCATAAGTATCATATTTGATACAAACTGTTTCTGAAATGTTTAGCATCATTTAATGGTAAAAAGGCTGGTCAAAACCCTTTTTTACCCAATCAGATTTACCTGATAACAGCGGGCAGAAGACCATTATTTTGACATGCGGTAGTAATTTCTGTTAAAGAAAGAATAAACCAAAAAATTTAAATAAATCTGGCTATTTTTTCTTGGATCAGGCTTTAAAGGGTTAAGAAAGAAAAAAAAATCTTAAATACAATTTCCAGATGGATGTTTGATTTTTGGAAAAGCCCATTAACCATTTTTAAAGGTTTGACTGTGATGTTTCAGGTTCATTATTTCATTTTATTACACATTACCAGGTAGAAAATGCTAAAAATGGGACCTGTTTTAGAGAAAGCAAGAACTTTTTACTTTCAAATCCTCCATTTTAATCGACCAGCCAAAAAAAAGAAATGCTAGCTCTGTGCACATTAAATCAATTAACCCTCTGAAACCATAAGTATCATATTTGATACAAACTGTTTCTGAAATGTTTAGCATCATTAAATGGTAAAAAGGCTGGTCAAAACCCTTTTTTACCCAATCAGATATACCTGATAACAGCAGGCAGAAGACCATTATTTTGACATGCGGTAGTAATTTCTGTTAAAGAAAGAATAAACCAAAAAAAATGAAATAAATCTGGCTATTTTTTCTTGGGTCAGGCTTTAAAGGGTTAAGAAAGAAAAAAAAATCTTAAATAAAAATTTCCAGATGGATTTTTGATTTTTGGAAGAGCCCATTAACCGTTTTAAAAGGTTCGACTGTGATGTTTCAGGTTCATTATTTCATTTTATTACACATTGCTAAAAATGGGACCTGTCTCTTGGAGAAAGCAAGAACTTTTTACTTTCAAATCCTCCATTTTAATCGAGCATTCACTCATTGGAAAAGCAAAAAAAACTTCTCCTCACATTCTCGGTGTTACATGACCAATTGCATGGCTTTTTTTGGTGAAGAGGAGGTATTGTGTGAGCATCTGCCAAGTAATTGGAGGCCAACGTGGAGACTGACGGGCTGATTACAGCGTGTCTTCTCCCACATTCCCCGTCCTGGAAAGGCTTTGTGTTCCTGAGCCCATAACCCACAGACGTGGACGGGCCTTTTTTTTTTTTTTTTCAACCGCGAGCTGTCACGGCCACGATGCAAAACCACATTTAGACAAAAAGCAGCCATTTTTTTCCCCCCCCGTGCTTTAAACGCACCGAAAGGTAATGGTGCGTGAAAATCCAACTGCCCGTGGATTTATTTCCCAATGATGTCTTTAACAGAAAAAAACAGCTTTTTCACATTTAATGGAGGATGTTGTGTCTCTATGAGTGAAGTAAAAGATAGCACACGCTCACATACTGACTTTAGCTCCACAACAAGACATAAATAAATGCCAGTATTATCAGATTAGAACACAATAAGAGACATAGAAGAATGGCAGCTGTGCTCAGAGTAAATATTCATATTTTATATCGACTCCAGTTAGTTTTACACATCGTTTTGTATCATCTGTGCAGAATCCATGGAAATATTGAAGGAAAATAAACTAAAGACTCCATATCACAGCACAACCATAACAAGAAAAAGTGTTTTAATATAATTTCTAATGCATTCTCCAGAATTTTACTATAATATGAAATATTATAATAGTTTGTTTTGTACATTTTTATTAAATCAAGATTGAAAAAAGAAAGAAATAGTCGTGGCAAGATGTCAAGGCTGGGAAACCCCTTTTATATAGTTAATTTTATGGCTAAAATAAAGTATCGTGCTGCTGTTTTCATTACTCTGTCCATAGCTTTGGTCACTGACCTTCTGTCCATCTTGGGAAGATGAAAAAGTTTAAATGGCATCGTGCTTCATAGGTTTGTTTTTTGTAGAAATCCAACAATAATAATGTTAAAAGAGGAGATAAAACTCTTTATTCACGTTTGAATATCTTGTTAAATGTCCATTGCTGACTTGATTCAGTGGAGAAAGTTTACCATGAACCTTCCTTTAGTTTTCATGGACCAGATACATTCTCCATCATGGCAGAGAAGAACTGAATTACAGTAATGGACCAGATGGGAAATGTTCTGTCTGAATTTGCCTTTGATGGACGCAGCTGTCTGAAAGATTTTTAGATGTTAGCGTCACTGCAAATGCAAGAAAAACCTCTGGGATTTTAACCATGTCAAAATCATCATCATCGTCCTTTTACCTCTTCTGTCCATTACGATATAACAAACCTGTTCTATTAAAAAGGACTGACGAAAATGGGAGCTACACCCGGTCACATAGGAATCGTGCAAGTGTTCGGTATGTCAAACTTTGCTTTAATATATAATGGCCGAGCCCACAGTGAGTGGACTGTGTACAATAATACTGTATATAATGTCAGAGGAAC